TTTAACGGATTTGGGTATATATAATATCTAGATAACTTTTTTAATCCAAATTTTTTTTTAGTTTATTGCCATATTTGGACATCGCGTATGACGTCATCATGTAAATCAAAATGAAAATAGAATTGCTATTAAAACTTAACAACCACGGAACTATCTTCGTGCCAAGTTTCGTTACATTTGAATCATTGTACGAATTTCTGTACACGAAACGGGAGAAAACTAACACCCATTTCTTGCCATCGTGGCCAATGGTCTATAAGTCAAGGACTTTGAAAGTGCTCTACAGTTGGCCTCGGATTGGATAATTACGTCGTGGATTATTAATGGATTATTAATGAATTATTAATGATTTGTTGATTATAAGTCAGCAACTTATAATTGTTTTATTTAGTTGTTTAATATTTAATTAAGTACTAGAATAACTCTCTAGTTTAGTGAAAGGAATCTTAAGAATCTTCATAAGAGAAGAATAATTGCACTGAGATCAACATTACRCAGTGGAATGGCGGTATTTTGGGTTTTCCTTYTCTACCATCTTTTTCCAGCAAACGGTAAAGTTCTTGTTTTTAATAGGTGAAAATCATGTTTTTATTGCTAGACTTGACTTGTTCGTTAGTACGATGTAAGTAATGGTCTGAACAAAACTGCATGCTGAAAGGTTGTGAGTCATTTTGCCGTAAGTTCGAAATATTTTTATAACTTTCAAAATTTGTTTTAATTACTTTAAATTAAGCTAACGTCCTTAATATAAATGAATGATTTTACAACAAAACTGTGGTATACGACTCACAAATAAGGGTTTCAGATCATCAATGTGTTTGAATGAAGCACTAGTGTTTTTCTGTTTTCTTTGTTTTCTTTGACAAATGATATTCATATTCTAGAAAATTAAAGTTCTATTTTGAGGATTTTTACAGATATATTTTCATTTTATGCGCTCATTCTTTTAAATCAATTTTAATATTTTTTTCGTTTTTTTTGCTTTTTTGTTTTTTTTGTTTTTGAGATTGACCATGCCAGTCCTTCCCTACGCATGAATTATGGATTACATAAAAAATCAAAACAAAGTCAGGGTCTAATAATACGTCAACCAAACATAGAAAACTAATAGGAAACAGCACAATATCACAAACTGTTTGAATTCGCAGCTCGCAGTTTATATATACTCACATAAGACAATTGTTTCAGCATTGTAATGTATAGACAAAATCAATGTAAATCAGTTTCAATCAACTTCAAAACTTAACTGCTGCACGCAAACTTCATCATGAATATATCATTACTATCGTATTCAGAACATCAGAAGCGGGAGGGGAGAGGAGACTGGCTAATCAAAGAAAAAATGTTAAATTAATAGATTTAGGTCTTCTTAGGTCGTGTGCGTTCAAATCCATCCGGTCTATAAGTATTTCTATCACTACTTTTAACTTCCATAAACTGGTCTAACCGCACAGGTGAAGGTGGCTGTAGAGATCTCAAGTTTCTCAAATGCATCGAGAACAAAACCATGACTGGTCACGTGATCAGTACGATAAAGATGGTAACACCTGCTATTCAACTGTGTCAGAATAAATGTTTCCTTGAACACAAATGTGTGTCGTACAACTTGGGTCCAGTACTTGGACAGACCAGGTGGTGTGAATTGAATGCCGCTGACCACTCGACTCGACCGAGTTTCTTAGTGGATAAAAAAGGCTATGAATATTGTCCAATTCAGGTGAGAAACCGCGATACTGGTAATATAAACATATATTGAGGCAAATTCTCTAAGAAAAAATGTTTAAAAGGCCAACGTGCATCTAAGCAGCCTTTTAACGTAACCGCAATCTTGGTGAATTTGAACGATTAGGTTTTCGTGCGATTTTAGTTTATCATATAATTATCTATGAAATACCTATATTTCTCCATTTCGTAAAATTGATATTTTCACTAGTGAAAATCTGAAGTTTCTGTATTTAGTGGAAGTAAGAAAAAAGGTATTTTACGACATAATTTGCTTCCATATGTAATTATGTGATAAACGGAATATTACATGGTCGCTTGGAGATACGAATTTTATCTTCTCATGTTGAAAATCTCTATTTATTATAATCTTTAGATGAAAATACTATTTGCAATAATGATCTGGTCCACCCACACTAATATTCATATATATCAAACTGAGCTTTAAGATTATGGGATATCATGTTTTGAGTTGTCCAGAATGAGTACTTTCTTAAAAATGTATCAGCGATGGTATTGCATGTAAGTCATTTTGATATATTAATATTAGCGTAGGTGGGTCAGAATCATTACATATAGCTGTATTATATATAATATAGAGGATATTACATGGTCGCGCGGAGATACGGATCTTATCTTCGAGTGTTGAAAAGATATCTGAGTCAAGAGTGAGCGTAGTCAATATGGATATGAATAATTACCTTCATTTTAGAAGTACAACAAATATCAAGGAATTAATTACCGTTTTAATTCAATCCCAGAATGCTTGTCTTTCCAGTCCATGTCTTTTTGAGAGAATTTGCATCCCAGATTTCTCGTGGAATACCTACAGCTGCAAAGGTTTGTACGAACAAAAGACAAAAGACTACACTAACCTCTATCAACTTCTATCAACAAACAGTTCAATATACCCAACTCCCTAGCATATGAAATGCACATTAACTTAGGCTACAAACTGAAATTTCAAGAGTTCAATTCTTATTTCAAAGTTTGATGTGATTTATTTTGGTGTTTGTTCAATAAACTTCGTCGATACAAAAAGTACAGGGCGGTCCCTGTTCCAAATCAACTTCCCTTCAACCAAAAAAACTACCACATATTTTGTAATCAGAGCTCGATTCAAGATACTACCTACTGGCGGTGGTATTGATCAAAAATATTTCTGACATAGCGTCATTCCACTATGACTATTCACTACTGAAATTTCACATCAAACTGAGTCAAAGACTATTAATAGAATCAATAATTACGCTAGTTAAACTTTCAGGCTGCAGGAGCCCATTGGGTATGGAAGATGGACGGATTCCTGACGAAAACATCACTGCGTCCTCGTTTTATCAAAGCCCTAAAGCCAAAGAAAAAACTAGACCAAGGTAAAAGAAACATTTGTTATGGGCAGATCGTCAAATATATTCGAGCGATGTCATTGGAAAAGAGGCTCTTTACCCTGCAGGTCACTGTTCTCGGTCGTGTTGTGTAGGATCCGTTTGCATTTAACAACATTAACACATTCATTTATTTTGGACAGCAATGGACGTCTGAATAAGAAGAAGACCGAGGATGATGCAGCAGGGTGGTCTGCGAGTTCAAAGAAAGAAGGCGAATACATTCAAGTCGATCTTGGAGCCATCAAGGTCATCACCATGGTAGCCACTCAAGGAAGAGGAGATTTTCCTCAATGGGTGACGACTTACTCACTGTCGTACAGCCTCGACAATAAAGATTGGAAAGACTACGATGAAGACAGTGTCAAGGTGAGATGGGATTCCTGTGGTTTAAGATAAGGCTATTGTTCGGTTTCCTTTGCCTTTAGATAAAACTGTTGACTGAGTTGCGGCTAATTGTTTTGTACAAATGGAGTCACTGTCATTGTGAGAGGCGTTCTACATAGCTGCTTTGAAGCTAGCAGTTGAAATTTAGTCGCAATGAAATTTCTTCGAGGCATCCTTGAGTCTTCTTTTGGACTGATAACTAGAAATTGAAACGTAACAGCGATCTCTATCGTATACTTTGGCACCCATTACTTTTTCCGAGACATAATCGGTTATAGCATTCTGCAAAGGTGCAAAAAATCGAGCATTATTCGTAAGGAAATTCCAAATCTTGCAACATAGAAGTGCTTTAATTTTCATTTTATAGTATTAGTTGTCAACAGACCTTCGAACCTTCTATATCAAATTGATCACATTCAAGCAACCTCAATAATTTGTAATACTTTTCTTGTTACACTTTTTTTAGCAACTTGTTTCTCGGAGTCTTTTCGACACACGTTATTGAAGAATTTCCGTGTTTTTTTTTCCTTGCGTGTACCTGTGTGTATGAAAAATACTTCTGTCTTATATTCAGCAACGCATTCAGAAACTTTTTCACAGACAATTGCAGTACAGCGTAAATAATAAACGAATGTAAAAGAATATCACTTTTACTTTTGTAGGTTTTTCCAGGTAACAGCGATCAACAAACCGTGGTGACTAATGTTCTTCAAGTACCCATAGAAACCAGGCACATCCGACTGATTGTGAAAGGGTATAGAGCGTGGCCCTCTTTAAGGATGGAGCTGTACGGATGTTAAATTCATGTACTGCTCGTAAATTTTATAACTATAGAGCTAGGAAGAAGGTTATTCCGGTAGAAATACCCTGGATTCGAACCCACGACCCTCGGAGTTGCACTACCGTGCTCTACCAGCTGGGCTACAAAGTCAGACTGGGAGCAGTTCGTGGTGAAAAAGATGTTAGGTTGCGGTAATTAGAATATAAAGATATGAATGTAAGGACCGCATGGCACTATGAAATACATGATATTTAAAAAAATGGAATACCTGACAATCAGCGACGAAGGAGCGATGTCGTCAGAAATGGATATAGTCTGCCAGCACGGCGAAAGAGGCTTGGGTATGAGCAAAGGCTCATGGGCAGTTATTATTTAATGGAATGTGCAACAAGTTTCTGTTCATTTAGGCTAGTCAGGCCAAAACCTCAGTTTCCTTTCTTTTATTTAACTGGTTTTAATTAAAACAGAAAAATAAGGGAGGTGATCGAATGTAATTTTGCTCAAGATATTGGTACGCATAGTTGGCGTTTCGGTATCATGTGACGCACTTTACCCTCGGAGAGTGCTATATAGTTGCTCTGCAAGTCTGCACGAGGTCGGGGAATACGTTTCTGGCGCGCGTTTCCACTGTTTTTGGCTACAACCCCAGGGTGGTTTTTACGTGGTTTTGCAGTTTTTCGTATCTGGTAGTTTTACATCAACTACCTAATAATAGGTCTGTAGGTATTTCTGTAATGGTGTATATAATGTATGATAGCTTGTAGTTTGTCATATCACTCCTGAGTGGCGAAGGAATCCTAATAAAAACACCTTATGAATGTTCTTGTTTAGTGTAGTTAGAATGGAAAGTTATAGTRCTAGGAAGGAGGTTWTTGGGGAGAAAGACCCTTGGAAATAAATGTGGAAAAATTAGTTTGCCATCTCGCTGGCTCAAATCCAAGCGAGATCGGAAATTAATTTTTCCGAATTTATTTTCAATATCATGTACCTCATTTGCTATGCGGGCTTTTATAATTTTATTTATAATTTTTAAACTATACTAATTAGGTGCACTTTATATCTTCATTTACATTCTCCTTCCATCGTTTAGCTTTAAATTAAGTGTCCTATGTTGCTAGATCCCGAAGCAATACCTCTAACCAAATTACAATGAGAGTTTCACGGAGTTGAAAAGGTTTTTTGCCAACTTCTCGTCGAGATGGACATACTCGAGGCTAGAGCAATATATTAGCTGAGCTTTATTTTGCTTTTTCAATCCTCCAATTTTCAATCTTGACCAAACTAACAAAAAACAACAACTACAACAAAAACAACAACAAAACAAACAAACAAACAAACAAACAAAAACAAAAAAACAAAAAAAAGATTGCATTAGAACAAACTTTGAATGAAAAAAGTTTTATTGACTTGTAGCTGTACAGTAAATCCTAGAGAAATTACATTCAGTGAGTTTAAGTATGTATTCAGATTTGTTAGTGAACATACCATTAAAAGTGATTATATGCAAGCTCTATAGTTAAGTGACTGGATCAGCGTTTTCGTCTATTGTGCACAGCCATGACGTTATCCCAGTCTTCTGCAGGGGTACAGCTAGTACAGTGATCTTCACAGCAACAGTTAATGCTCTTCCTAAAGTTAGCATGACTGCCTCTATAYTTTCCTTTATTTTTGGACCTTTTCTTAATGTTTGYTGTRTTGGCAATCTCGTTTGTCTCAGGAGGAGAGTCTCTTTCATCGTTTTTCTGTATAAGATTTTCATGTGTTTTTGTAGCGACTTCCAGTGGTTTAGKTTTAGAAGGTAGTGGCTTATCCATAGCAATTGCAATAGCTATCTCAACATCCTCAGGCTTAACTGCTTCGTATCCTTGTGTTTTGAACTGGGAAGAAGTTGACAATAGGCATTTAGTTGGAATGTAATCCATTTTGTTACAGTCTTCGTTCTCTTGATACACTAATCGTCTCCTAGACTTTGGAGTGCCTCGGTCTGAAGTCGAGGTCTTTAGCTGTGTGTCCTTATTACTACTGTCRGCACTTGTCTCACAGATTCTGCGCGTAAAGCTCTGAGAAGCAAGAGGGCACTTCTCAGCATCATTGGTTGTTTCTTTGCTTTGGGTTTTTCCGTTGTCTTGCTTTCCAGTCTTGACATCTTTTGGAGCACCTTTARAGCTGTCTTTTGGAACACAATCTTTAGAAATTTGTGTCGCACATTTGCTTTCACGTCGTGCTTCATTTGCACTCAGCTTGCTTGGTGCAGTATTTTGTTGATCTGTCTCCAATCCATTGAGTGCTCTATTAGTAGGAGAAGATTTGATTTGTCTTGGAGAACAGTTTGCTGACTTTGGTCCCTGCCAAATGGTTGGTGGTACAACACGTGCAGGTTGCTTCTGYCCTTCCTTATTAAAAGCCGGGTTACGGCTTTGCTCTGTTGGCACTGGTCTTGAATTTGGAGCCGTTGGAAGTGTTCTTGTATTGGAAATAGCTGTGGTATGGGAAGTATTTTTAGCCTGCGTTAAAGGTATTATGCTCTTTGAAGAGACTGCAGTAGGACAATGCGCCGTTGGTCCTGGATGCTGCACTGATTTGCCTTGCATAGGCTGAGTAATTGACTTTTGAGGAACATTTAATGATTTTGCTTGTTGCGATATGATTTTGCTGGAATTTTGCTCCTTAACTTGTTGCTGTGTTACTTTTCCTTGGATAGGCTGGCCATTTGACTGTTGTGCAGTATTTCCTGGTTTTGGCTGGGAAGCAGATTTTTGAGACATTGGTCGCTGCGGTATGAYTTTTTTGGCATATTGCTGGGTGGCTTGATGGGATGTTGCTCTTACTTGAGTTGGGGTGTTTGACTTCGGTGGATTTCCTGATTTGGGCTGGTCAGCAGCTTTCTGAGGCAATGTTTGTTGTGGTATGATTTTGTTGGCATTTTGCTGAGTGGTTTGATACTGCACTGATCTTCCTTGGATAGGTTGAACATTTGACTTTTGTGCAGAATCTACTGATTTTGGCTGAGCTTTATAAGACATCGGYTGTTGTGATGTTATTGTTCTGGCATTTTGCTGAATGGCCTGATGMTGTGTTGCTCTTCCTTGAGTTGGAGTGTTTGATTTTGGTGGATTTCCTGGTTTTGACTGGGCAGCAGGTACATGAGACATTGCTTGTTGTTGTGTAGGTTTGCTGGCATTTATGTTTTGATCGATTACGGAATTTGAGGATGCTGCAGTTTTAGCATGGTTTGCACTGTAAGGGTGAGCACTATTTGACGTCTGTGAGCGTTGTATTGCCTGTGGAGTACATCTTGGTTGCGTTGTAGAGATCCTCTGAGTGAAAGTTTGGTTTGCGTTCCACTAGATAGTGAACAAAGTAAAGCTTTTAGAACAAAAGCATTCTGAAACTTTCGAGCTGTGGATGTAAACGCTTACAAGTATCTATACTCCCTCAGTAACAAATAATTCCTCCGCTCTCATTGGTCGAGCTATTCGATCATATGCTTCGATCATATGTTCATCATAATGTTTTTCCACGATTTATAGGACTGAGGTTCAGCTAAGTGTCACGTGTCCCGTCAAAATTCAAAGACAATGACGAGAAATTACACATCAACCAATCCCGGCGCTAATTATGTGCTAACATGCATAATAGGTTCAACATTGCAGTCTAAAATAATCACCGGCCTTATGAATTAACTATCAATACTAAGATTTTCATGACACCGTCTCAGTGCATGATGGTGCTTACTTGTGCAACAGGCGCTTGCTTGACAACACTTTTTACTGCAGATAAAGTCGCTGGTTGAGATAAAGGTTTCGACTGAGAAACAGGTGCAGATTTTGGAACTGGCAATCGTGATGGCATAGCCTTCTTCTCCATCGAGGCGGTCGAAATCGTAGTACTACTTGAAGATGCTGTTCTTTGCTGGCTCAAAACATTTGTTTGAACTTTTTGTGAGGCCCCAGGTGCCTGCCTCACTAAAACAAAAGACATTTTGAGGCTGTTAGGAACATGTCCAGTTGCATSAAACGTTTTTACCTCGAGTACAAAATCATTTGACTTATCGTTTACATATAGTATAAAGTAATCGACGATGATGCAGATCGTCATTTTTACCTTGGTCCAAGCCCTACCGACTATCATTTCTTTATCAAATTTAGCCATAATGGCTTCTGCAAAACAAGCTACATTACGAAATTCATTCACATGTGATGATAAAGGCAGCTTACCTGCTTGACCGGGAGAAGTTACATTTGCCGTTGTGACTCCTTGTTTACCACTTCGTGTTGTGATATTTCCAGTAGTCGACTTTGCCGAGAAACTTTGAGCATTTGCTTTCGACGTATCTTGATAATGAATACTTGGGGATGGACCGTTCTTACAATCACTTGCAGCATTTGCTGATGGATTGACTATTAATCCTCTGGATTTCTCCTCCGGTATGCGATAGTGAGTTGGTCGTTTAGGAACAGCACCAGGATTGGGGTAAGACGGAGGAATAGGATGAGGAAAGGAGTAGACGTTCGTTTTGTTGCTTTCTGTTGCTTTTTGTGCCTGCACACACCTCTGTAATATGAAATTAAAGGAAACAACATAACAGTCGTAAAAATAGTGGCAACTTTATCAAATCTAAACCGACAGCATTCTCGTGTTTTGACCCTTCTAAGTTCTCAAMGCATTCTCATGTTTTGACCCTTCTAAGTTCTAAACAGAAAATTGAAAGCTATGCCTGAAGGCGATACCGCTGGAAGACCCACAATTTGGATACGACGAAAGTATCCCGTGATGATTTAAAATAAAACGAAGATTGTGGAGGCCAAAAATTGTGGGAAGGTATTTTCGGAGAATTGTGCGCCTGAAAATGTCAAAATGTAAATGTTTTTATTAACCACACAATTAATGGCTTATCTTTCTTGGACTATGTGAGCCTTCTATTTTCGTTTGGTAAACTATGAGTTTATAATCATCGAATTTATTGCTAAAAGGTTAATCACAACATCAATCATTATAATAATCACCTGATCATCTCCGGGAACTGAAACAGAAACCGCACATGATGGTTTTTCCGCTTTGTCTCGACTAGTTTCCCTCTGCTCTTCCCTGTTGCAATGAAACGCCTTCATGGCCTCTCGGTTCGGATATCTTGGCCGAACATCAATACTATTTTGTTCAAAAATCTCTGACTTTTCCTTGTTCTTACTGGAGTTCATTTTGGCCCCCTCATTCCCTGTTTCCATACTTATCGCTGTTGAGACTGAACTAGCAGATGGACCGGCTTCAATGTCCTTTGTTGGTGACTTCTTTCCAAAGAAGAAGTTTCCAACTTTTTTCTTCAAACTGGAGAAGAATTTCCTTGGAGCAACGAGAGCTTGGTACGTCGAGAGTTCCTCGCTTCCACTACTAGATCGAGATGATACACGCAATTCTGATGCATCGTCTTTACCTATTTCAACTTCAAATGATTTCTGGCTTGAAGGAGAGCCACGTGGAGAGTTGCAGTCTTTGTTTCGTTTCTTTTGGTTTCCTTCGACAGTACTGTTTGCCACTGAAGGTGTAACGCACAAATGAACGTTTGGAACCTGAACTGGATGACCTTTTCCTGCATGTGAGCTTMCAATGGCAGCAGCTGCAGAATGCCGAGKAGCACATGAACCTTGCAAAGTACGATTATCACTTCTATTTTTTTCAACTGAAGCTGGTGTAGATGAAAGGTTCTGCTGCAGGACGCTTGAGCTTGAGGAAATGCAGCCACTACTTGTACGCGAGCTTTGGTTTACGGAATTATTACAACATGCTTTTTCAGTTGAAGGATTTATAGTTGGAAGATTATAATGGACATTTGGAAAATTTGTCAAAGTGAAGTCGCTATTTGGTTGCACTGCTTTGTTATGAACATTTTCAGACAACTGACGATCATAATTAGAGTTAATTGTCTTGTCAACTGTAATTGGCAAYGTCGTCTGCGAGCGCATGGTGGTTGGARCGGTGTCCTTCMTTGGTTGTGGATTTTTGATTTGAGTCGGCGMAGCCGGCTGTCGAACCATAATTGTATCATTCTTAGTTGATTTTCCTGGCCAACATTCAGGCTGCGGACTATAAGAAGGCGTTGTGATCGTATTTGATTGATTTATTCCTGGTGCCTGTTTTATTTCAGCAGCAGTAGGAAGTCCAGTGTGAACACATTTGTTTTCTGTTAAAAAAATACATGTATGAATCAATAGTCTCCTTCATGGTTCTCTGCCCATCAAAATCCATCAAAACCAGACATGTTCGACTGAAGGTAAAGGGGTATCATTCATGGCCCTTCATGAGGATTGAGCTATATGGATGCTAAATAGTTTTCTTCACGGTTCCCTGCGCCATCTTGATTAAAGGTAGCCGTGCCTTTATACATCCAAACGAGACAACGGTTTAGCGTGCATGATAGATACCTGCGAATAATTATCTGTTGGTGTGAAAGAAGGTTTCTATCATTGCACGCTCAACGCTTGTCTCGCTTCGATACAAAGGCACGGCTACCTTTCAACGTGGCCCAGGGAACCGTGAAGAAGACTATTGTCTATGAAAAATCAGTACACCGATTTTCAATGTGAGGAGTTAGAGCGGATTTCGTATGACTGTGCAACGGCACGGATCACAACACGGACACGGACACGGCACGGCACGGCACGGTCAATTTGATAAACTAATAAGGGCGTATTGCACAAGATCATATGACTATACAATACCTTACAACCAGTAGTTTTACTCTGCGTGACCGCGAGCTAATTGGATCAATATATTCGGTTATCAAAACATAAATCGCCTATTTGTACCAAATATAATATATATTATTACGCCACTAACCTGCGTTAGCAGTAGTATCCAGTCCTTTTATTGAAGGTGATGCAGAAGTATTTTCTTGTTTTGCTTTTTGGTCAGGTGATCTTTGCGTTGCGTCATCAACATCGAAAACATCGATCACGTGATCACGTCGTGTGTTCTTATTCTGTCTTTCATTTCCATTTGGAGACTGAGCGCATTGATCGTTTCGCTTCTTTGCATCTTTAGTWGGARGTGTTTTGGGTGTTTTAGTTTGCTGTTGGTCAGTAGAAAATGCCTTTCGTCGGCGTTGAAGCTCAAGTTGTCGTTTTTGAAACTCTTTCTGTTTTGCAATGTAAAGTTGTTGTTGGAGAAACTTTTCGTGTTCTGTRACAATTATTTTAGTTTCTTCAATGGGAGATGGAGCTGGTGGAGATTTGCTCGCCTCTTGGACTTCGGGAACTATTAAAATAATTATGCATGTAAAAYGTGAATTGACAAAAATCGCATGGATTTTCAGGAAATTATGACTGTGTATTATTACGTCCAAAACATGTGATAGAAAATTGTTTGTTCCAGCGACTGATCAAGTTGACGGGTTCAGTGGACGGGTTCGCATCCCCCTTCCCGTTTTAGCCCCTTTTATAGACTTCCTTCGAAATTGTGTGTCATTTGATTTGATTTTTTGATTTGTGGACATTTGATTTTATGCATGTCCACCCTCTCCTCTTCGGTGGGCAGCCCCACACTCTAAAAAAATAACTGGTTTCTCCCCTGGATAATTCTCAATCAATCCCAATAGCCGTATTTTTGGTAGTTAATTATGGAACATTTGATAATGATACAAGAAMCGAAAAAGTAAACGACTATCGTGTCGTTGTAAGAACTACTCAAAATAAATTTAAAATAATAAAAAAATGATTCGTAATGCCATTTAAAGTTTAGAATTAAAATTCTTCCTGTAAATTTTAAAAACCTTTTACGCAAATGACTTTGTTGTTGTCTTTACAAGTCAATAACGTTAATGGGAATGACTGTACGCAATACTATTCGAAAAGACCCAAAAACGGTGCTTAGCCTTGGTCCGGGTACTAGTGTCAGGGTCTTAATGGGAGGGGGTCTCAATGTCGGTAGTCAGTTAAAATTTCAAGCATTTGTCGCTAGTCAGTTAAAATTCTAGGCATTTGTCGCTAGTCGGTTGTTTAAAAAAAGTTGATAAACATTAAGTTTGAATGCATCTAAAACGGTGCTTTATACCAACAGAATTCTTTCTAAAATGCCAAGAATTGAATCCTTGAGTCTTGATTGGTCAATTGGATGCCCTTAAAGTTTTAGAGTGGCTCATCACAACTTCAAGAAGCCAATCCGAAGGAAAATTTATTTTTTCCGCGGAAAATTTCGAATGTAGTTGCTTGAAAAATAAAAAAAAAGCTTGTATTCACGGAGCTAACATCTTTGAATATTGGAAAATGTCGCCAGTCAGTAAATTTGGTTCAAATTTGTCGCTAGTCAGTAGTTATTTTGTCCATTTGTCGCTAGTCGGTTAACCCCATTCAGACCCTGTAGTGTGAGCTTTGCGTCTTTGTTGGTGTGGCCATGCACATCGAAGCCCAGCAATGAACCCTATGTTAGAACATGCCTTTTTAGAATCGCGTTCATGAAACCTTTTAATAGCGCCGGTGCTTATGCTGAAAATAAGATGATTGAATATACCACATTTGCACTCACAACTGTTTGTCAGCAAAATAATACATTCAGAAATATTTTTTTAAAATGACGGAGAGGAATAGGCTCTAGGAATTTTTCCTAGGAAACTCTTCACGATCTTTGCGGCAGGAGGGAAAATCAGGAATATCTCTTAAATATTCCAGTTCTTTAACGGCCGCAATGGAGACGGTAATTCCCAATTTTAATTTGAGTTCTCAATAACCATATGCTTCCCAGGAGAGAAATCGTATAAGAACAGTAATTTAGAAGAACAGAGCTGCTTTGTCACCTCTTGGAGAAATACGAGATACAAGAGCCTCAACTAGCCGCGCAACATTGTTGCTCTGTTTTAAAAAGTTTTAAATGGCATGAAAATAGATCGACTCAGAAGCTTGAAGAGCAAAAATGTTTCACCATAAGAGGTTTTTTATACGTTGTATTTCTCGGCCTTTRTACTGTAGTTATTCACATTGCGTTATACCTGTTTGTTGCTGCTCTTCCTGCTCTTCACGCATTTTAGGTTTGTTTCTACCAAATCTTATCTTTTTCTTGCTTGCTTTTTTATCCTTTTTCTCCATCGCTTATACTAAAAAGAGACTAGAATTATAATACTTGTATATGTTTGAATGATAGGGTATTGAGAGGAAAACATTTTAAAATTTGCTCGTTTATACATTTGGATTTAAGAACCAATTAAACGTTCATGTTACGAGGGACCAAACACAAAGAGTCTAGTTTTTCTACACACCAAAGCCAAGTTTTAATAGGAAAACTAGTGTTGTATTCACAAAACTAGTGTTGTCTTCACAAAGACCTTTTCAATTCCCATGTCACACTTTGTGCGATATCGTAAACTAACGTACTAATGTACAAAGTGTAACATTGGAATTGAGAAGGTCTTTTTAGTTGTAGACGAAACTAGTTTTCCTATTAAAACAATATTAACATCCTTTAGTATGTAGAATAGCTAGGCTGTTATGGTTTGCTCCTACAAAACATGAAGTTTTTTATGGTCCGAAACAAAGAAATTTTAGTGGAAGCCCATCGATGATCTGGCGTTTCTATTCAATAAAAAGAAGTGAAAAGTCGCCAAAATCAGTCCAGCGGTTGATCAAATAACAAAACATTTACCTGATCGTAATGAATCTTGTTSTCTTTCTTTCTGATCGAGTTCTTTTTATGCTAGCAGATAGAAAGCGTTTTTTTTTCTTTTAGCTTTCAACGTCATTTAGCATCGTTTGTGACGAAACTAATGAAGCGCGCGCGTCCAGTCCATAGCGTACGTGCTCGGCTTCGCCCAAACACAGGCAACCCAAGCTAAGCATTTGACTAGCTGATTTAGCGATATCTATAATGCATGTAAATATGAACTTTTTGAAAGAAAAAGTTAGTAAAAAACTTTTGACTTACTTTTTGATGTGGTTTTATTTACGAATTGAGGCGTAATTTGCCGTTTTTCTTTGATATCTCCCTTTGATATCTTTCTCTTTACTTATATTTAAATCACAATATAATAAAAATAAACATCTCTACCTGAGTATTGTGTTTTTCTTTACATTTCTGAGAAGTCCATTTCCTTCAATTTTAAGCGATTTATGGCGACGCTGGAGAACAACAGCCATAAATCATCGGCTCAAAATTGAAGGAAATGGCCTTAAACACTACACTTACTCAGGTAGAGATCGGTAGAGATGTTTATTTTTATTATATTTTAAATATTTCTAAAAAGGACACAAATGTCTTGGGCTATCTATGAGGTTTTGAATAGAATATAATAATCGATCTAAGGGGAAGCAAGAAGAATAAAAATGAAAAGAACGAATTTTATTGTCGGATAGTGCGGGCTTTCTTTGTACAGCACAGGGAACCCAGTAATTGATATCCAAATAAGGAAAATTTGGCGCCAAATGCACAGGGAAAGAGTCAAAATGGACGAACAGTGTGAACCCGACAAAGTTCTCTATTTTTCTCCAATTGGAACTTACGAAATAACTGCTGATAAAGATGGTATACTAAGCATCAAATTGATAAGCGAGAAAACAGAAGAAAAKAATTCTGTGCTTGAATCAGGCTCAAAGAATCGTCATCTACAAGATTGCCTGACATGGATGGATGCTTACTTTACTGACTTARAMAGTCTCGCAAAAACAAAGCGCCCAGYTTTGAACAAGAAAAAATGGCAGCACAAGACGTTCTGCTGTAATGTTTGGCAGACCTTGGAAGATAAACTGCCCCCTGGTAAGGTTTTAAGCTACGGTCAAGTCGCGAAAATGGTGGGAAACGAAAAGGCGTCAAGAGCGGTAGGAATGGCGATGAAGACAAATCCTTTCTCTATCATAATGCCTTGCCATAGGGTTGTCAGTAAAGACAGGGTAGGAAACTATAGCTCTATCAATGGAGCTAAAACAAAAATGTGGCTTTTGGAGCATGAAAACGCTGACTTAAAGAACTACAAATGAGAATTATTCGCATATTCACCACAGGAAGCCCAAAGAACTGGACTGACAAATGATGGAGTTTGTAAAAGGGAAACACAGCGTATTAAAGCAAGGGAAAAATTAAAMGCTACAAAATGAAATGATGTTTGTGTTGCTTAAACTTAGAAAATGTGGGTTTAATTGATAGAAGTCAGATGTAAGGCAAATATAACAAAAACACAAAGCACCAAAAATGCCAGAGCAGGGATCCTCATGAGAAATTCTGAAAATGACCCATAAATAGATCGACTTCTTAATCTTTTATGTTAGTACTTGGTTTTCAATTCATTCAGGCATTGATGAAATTCCACTCCTCGAGAAAGCAAACAATRACCTATCAATTTGGTGGAATCAATGTAATTTCATTTGTAGCCTGCGTGGCGTCTCTAGGGGAGGGGGAAGGGAGAAAACGGAAGGGGAGAGGGTTGGGGAGGCAGAGCGGAAAGGAGAGCCTCTCCTTTTTTCTGCTCCGCCTCCCCACCCCCTCCCCTTCCGTTTTCCCCCTCCCCTAGAGCCGCCACGCAGGCTATTTCATTTGTAATTTGACAAACATCGTCTGCTGTATGGGTTCAAGAGTTGTACTGCAGACCCATGCAGGCTAGGGCTGTCTTATATCCTAAAAGGGACTACAAAATGCAGTTGGTGGGAGTTCTTGGCATTATCAACCCAGGCATGATAATGCCAAACACTTGATTTGAATCCTTAAAGGGATAACAAGGACCATGCCCCCTGCTATATAACGTTGTCCCCTCCCAAAAATTCATTTTTGTTTGACCATACTATAAATTTCGCCACCCCATTTTGAAAAACATATTTTGATTGCCTTAGGGTCACGTGACCGCCCGAAGTCGATTTTTTCCTCTTCAGAATTTAAAGAAAACTAAGTTACACTTTAAGGCCAAGTTTGAATTTCATAAGGTTAAAATTACTTGAGTTATTAAAGGAATCGTGTTTTTCTAATATCAACAAAATGACCCTGCCTTAACATGATTGAGTATACAAGTGGGAAAACACTAAAAGCATGAAAAAGTACTAGAGTGAAGTTGTTAAAACCATGAAATCAAATTTGCCTGTTAAATAGAAACGCAAGAAAACAATAAAATTAGAGCATTCCAAGGTGTTGGTTAGTAGTGTAATTAATACCTCTTTCACAGGTTCTTTTGATATCACTGAATTAACCAAAAAGTGCTAAATAATATAATAATTGTAGTGAAGATTAAACAGTAAAAACAAAGGATTTTTTTTAATTCTGTACAATTTAGCACCATTTAATTACTAAAGATTTTCATGGTTTTAGAAACTGATTTATATATTTTATTATGTTATTTTGATTGATGGTCTTTAGGGTCTCATTGTATAGACCCCTTGCATGTGACGTCAAAGCAGCTTCATCTGGAGGACAAAACAAAAGATTTTTAACCTCTTGGGAACTAGAATCCATTGTTTTGTCCTCCAGTTGGAGCTGCATTCCCATGAACTGCAAGGGGTCTATACAATGCATGTAAATATATTTTGAAAGCACTGTAGAATAATCAAGTTTTTTCCATGGTTCACTTCAAAATTCCATGATTTTCTAGACCTGGAAAATAGAATGTGAAATTCCATGACTTTCTTAGCCTCCTTTGCAGATGTTATACCTATTGGTCATATGTTCCCTCTACGTCTGCAAATAAGGCTATAGCTTTCCAGGGACTTGCARACTATCCTTGCAAGGTCACTTGTTGACTTGCTTTAATTTAAAGGCACAAAACACCTTCAATAAAGGGACAATAACCTGAGAGACTATTGGCTAGGTCCAAGCAAAGTGAAATACAAGCTATACACAAAACGATGATGATGTAATAATTGATGTATATTGACCATCATGAGGAATATCATAAAAACAATCATAGTTCAAGACCACTTTGGCGTCACGTGCTGTTCCATCACAGTCTATTTGTCCTTCAATACTAATTGTTAAATACTAGTGATTTGGGGTAAAGAGTCCATACTTAATTATTTTGTGTGATAAGAGCTGCATATGAATATGCAGCGAAATTCGCTGCATCGCGACTTCTTTGTTTCAAAGAGCTGTTTGTAAAYTTGTTCAGGCATTGGCTGATTTGCAGCAAGCTCATCCCCAAAGTCACAGAAAAATCTAAATCCTAGGGATTTCTTTTGAACATTGAAGTTGCGATGCAATGGTTTCTGCTGTAAGCCTGTGAAACAAAACTGGTCTATTTAAGTGTGGCAATCAGATAGACATAAAAGAAAACAATGCAATTAACACTAAGGAGTGTATTAAATCTGTTTCACTGGTYTTTTGAGAAAGTACTAACCACTAGTTTAGCTGTGATAGTTACCATTTGAAACTGGTTATTCATTAAAATTCCCAGAACATCCAGTTTCCAATAGCAACTATTACACTGTAGATTGCCCAAAATTTTAACYGTCTATCTTTTTATTATTTAAGAAAAATTTCTGATATTACTCCCTCAGCACTTAGGTGCATTTAGTGTAATACCCATTTCATGTTTTTTTTTATTTCACAATTTATCATGATTGATAATCATAAGTAGAGAGCAAASACTAAAACCATTAAAAACTATAGTAACATATAATTAAATAGTGCTCAAAGAGGTCATTAAAACCAGTGAAACAAAATCTAAACTATTCAAGTGTGATAGCCAAATACACTTAATACTCCATTTTCAAATTCTAAGCKACCAACCGCTGTCTTATTTGACAGCAGATTTTCTTACGCAAGGAACTTACCAAACACAAAGAAAGCAYGAGAWAATGTTTTACGTACAATRGCGCTGACAATTTACATTTTACCMRAGTTGAGSCTAACCCTGTATTCCCAGAAGGMGCATACCTTAGGTCTCATGGGAATACAGTGTTAGTCTCAACTCAGGGAAAATRCAAATTTTTAAGRCWATTGTAAAAWCRAAATKTTTTCRTGCTCCCTTTTGTGTTTGGTCAGGTCTTTGCGCAAGAGAATCTGTAGTCAAATAAAGCAGCKGTTTTTCGCTATCAATTCRAAACTGGAGTATTGATAAAAATAAGTATCCAGGTTTACATCATCAACACTAAGACCTAAAGGCAGCATGCGAAAACAAATATTGTGACATACTGTGTCTAAGTGATTGCTGTTGCACTGATTAAAATGACTTTCTCTWATGTAAAATGCAAATATGATTTGACCTGTAAGTGCCCAAGATCCTTTGCAATCTTAGCTTTGATGACATCACCTTCCAATATTTATTTCAATTAGGCATAAACACAAGAAAAAACAATACAATAAGAGCATACTAAGGTGTGTTAATTAGTGCAATATCTATCTTTTTTTACTTCACCCTACTTAGTGAAATTAGCACAATTTGGGATTTTTACATGGTTTTAGCATTTACACTCTAATGGTTCTAATAAAAGTGGCTCAAGGAAAAAAATGGAATATTTGATTAAATTACAAATAATAATAATGATAATAATAATAATAATTAAAAAGATTTGTCAACTGTTGTATGGAGGCTTTGAAAAAATGTCAATTCCCACTTGACTGATGCTACCTTCACTTGGTCATTGATTAATTACACAAAATAACTAAAGTTTTTCTTAAAAAAGTGAGACAGGAACACATGATTTGTGAATGGAAAAATCTAAACACCAAAACAAAGAAGGCAATACTAGTAAAWCAATGATTCATGCTATGTGTTCAACACAAAATTTCCAGGACTTTCCAGGTACATTCTAAGCACAAATAATTGATTTTCAAGGAATGTTTTTGTCTTGCGCGATTTTTATAATGCTCTCATCACTTTCAATCACAACGTTAAAACAATATTGTAGATTGCATCAAATTCCAGGAATTTTAGCATTTTTCACAATTTTCAAGTAGCTTTATCCTATAATATAAAGAAAGGTTTTCATTGCAGGGCTTTCCATGGCTTACAAGGAGTAGCATGAATCAATCCTGTAAAATTAAAAACTRCATTTTCTATAAAATGGCCATCATACTTTGATAATTTAATCAAATGCATCAACAGTACAAAATTCAAGGTTAAGAATATGACAGGTTTATGAAAACCATCCCAATGTTATTAAAATCGTCCAGAGCTTGAATTTAACTGTCCACACCAACTTGTCACATGACTTCTTCTCCACAAAATAAACCCCTTCTAACAATATAACTATGAGTGTGCAAGTACATGTATGTGCCACCAAAATGTTTTACAAATATTGAGGAGAAAACTTTATAAATCTTCAGAAATTTATGAATAATCAATGAGTATAAAACAAAGAAAAATGTCCGTCCTATGAATTCACTTTTTGTGTGAATTCTTCCAGTAGTTATCCATGATTTCTATGAATACACAGTAGATAAAAAACCCAGCACTCATGTAGCATTGCAGGTCATATCTAAAAGCTTCAAAGCAGATAAAACAAGCTACAYCTAGGAGTATMTTTTTAACCCAGTTCTCAGTGTCTAGAGACTGGTAAACCACTGGTATTTACTACCATGTATCYACTTTAGGGAGATGTGGTCATGTGACAGGCCGAGTGAGCATTTAGTGCTAGTCACCTTTAGCATTCCAAACTATTCACAATTTAAAATAATATTTGTATAAAAAAAATCTTAACTGATTCCTTTATATGAAGTAAAGGARTTACTAGAGAATCCTTGCGATGACGCCATCGGTCTTGCTCCCATCATACCCATTGGCTGGGCACCATATATACCAGTATTGGTCCCCATAGGAACAGTTCTAATACCACCCATCATATTAGGGCTCATACGGCCTTGATTTGACACCATACTACTAGGCTGATTCATGTAGTTCATTTGACCCATTGATCCCAAGTTATAGTTGGGCTGTTGAGGTGAGTTGTATGGTGTAGTGGTGGGTTTCTGTTGTAATAATTGATTCATACTGGGTTGTTGCGGTTTGTCACGGTTCAAAGTAGGAATTAAGCTATCCAGGCTGATGTCTACTTGACTATTGGACCACATTGTGGGCTTGTTGCCTTGTTTCTGAGACTAAAAAGAGAAAAAGATTGTCAATAATACAACTTTTGTTTTAGATAGAGTGGTATCTCTATTAAACCTGTCACCTTTTCAAACTAAAAGAGAACTAAGAAAACCTTAGGACTTTTATTGTGGCTGCCTACTGTATATAGGGTGTTAGATATGAAGAAGAGTAGAACTGAAGTAGTGGAGGTTTTGAGTGTGAATCTTTCTGATAGCACAATAGCCGACACTGGCAAGGGTTACCACTCTATTTTACTCAAAAAATTACAAAAAAATAAATTAATTAATAAAATATCCAATAAATTCTATTGTTCATATCAACAAAAGATGCTTTCCAGTCTTGATTCTCAAGGTGAGGATTCCTTAAAAACCAGCAATAAAGATTCCTGCAATAATTACAACTTTACATCATGGTCATAGAAAAACTATTACCTCTTGTTTGTTGAATRCTGCAGCATTTGATGCTGGCATTGTCGAACCCATGTTTATTCCACCAACAGGCTGTTGCTGCATTGACGTCTGTTGCAATCCAATTTGTTGCATTCCAAGTTGCATGCCAGGTTGTTGCATTCCTGGTTGCATACTAGATTGCATCATAGGTTGCATCATACCAGTGTTACCCTGAAGTCCCATTGGAGCCATCATCGGCATAGAAGTAGTAGGCATTGCTGTTGGCATAGCAGATGTCATTCCCATAGTGCTTTGTGTTCCCACAGTAGATTGAAAGGACATTGTGGATGAAGTTGCCATTGATGTGGAGTTGAGTGACAGTCCCATAAGTTCTGTCGATGGTGCTGATATAGATGGTGCTATTGGCTGAGTTGAGAAATTGCTCTGAGGTATACTGGCTGCAATAGACTGTAATACACAAACATTGTCATAYATTTGATTTTGTTTTTAAAAGTCTACTTGGATGAAAAGTACAAAACATTGGAAAAGGTACTGAATTCTTCTAGAATAATCAATAATAGGGTCCTATAATCACCAAGCAATGTATTTTAATAAGATATTACTACAATTTCTTTGGAATCTTGGCAAAAAACATGATTGTAAGCCACTTGGCTGCCGTGTGAAATGATCTATACATGTGAAGCGCCTGTGAACTCAGAGGATATCGRCGCTATATAAATACCACATATTATTAAATTATTATTATTATTTACTTATCATCCTTCTGTTCTTTCTTATTACATAGTTGGGATTATGAGGCAGGTCCTGACTGACCCCCTTGGGGTAGAAAGGGTTAAATCATTATAAATTCTATTGTGTTGTTCAGTGTAGTTCAGAATTCAGCTACAGCTTAAGTGCACAAATTACATTAATTACCTGTTGCTGTGGCTCACTTGATTTGAAGTCAGAAAAGAAATCATCATCAGACACACTATTCTGTGTTTGTGCTGCTACGGTTGGCTGGAAGGATGCAAAATCTCCAAACCCAGGAGAACTGGAAACTACAATAGAAAATATAATGACTATTATTGACTCGTTTTACTTGAGTACATTGCACTCTTAAGTTAAAGTGCAGCACTACCATTTTGTACAACACAATATGATTAGATTTGCACTATTTGACAGCTGAAATAATCAAACAATACAACACAACACAACAACACAACACAACACAACACAACACAACACAACACAACACAACACAAAAACATTTCAGTGCGCTAGGACAAGATGTAAGAACGGTGTACATGATTTTGTATGGCTTTCATGCACTAGATAAGGATTTATTTTGCGGAATTAATCACCATTCATACAAATTGCCCCCTGAATAATAAGTGCCAATCAGTACACTATCATTATATGCCATAAGTCAAAATGTAATAAGTACCAAAACTTACTATTACTAAAATCAGCAAATCCACTATCATTAGCACCAGCTGGTACTGGTGACTGGAAATCACCAAACAAGTCTACAGCTGGGGCATCATTGGTTCTTGTTGGTGAAGCAGATTGAGTTGTCTTGGGTGATGTTTCAGCAAAAAAGTCAAAAAACTCTTTAGACCCAGAGTTTTGTGTGTTAGAAGTTGTATTATTTATCAATGGTTTGTCTGGAATAGCTGAGCTCTCTGTGGCTATACCAGTGTAGTGTGCTGCAGCACCAAGGTCTAGTTTTCTTGTACCAGGTCCAGAGGATTTGAATATACTTTTTGAAGCATTGACAACATTGCCATTAGGTTCATCTTTTTGTTTTTCTTCAGATGCTTCCTCTGCTTCTTCATCTTCACTGAATAAAGAAACAAATTATTCATAAATGTGCAGCACCTCATCTTTAGTCCTTTTGCATGAAACTTTCACATGGTTCTAAATCTGCTATACCGGATGACAAAATACAAAAMAAAGAACAGTCAAGTTTGACAGTCTGCTTTCATTTTGGTTTCAAGGTTGTTTACATTCTTTTGCCATCCAGTATGGTGGATTTAGTACCATGTGCCCGTTTTGTATAAAAGTCCTATTACGATAAGGGGTAGGGGTAGTGTTGTTGTGGTATAATACTAACCTGTCTTTATATTCTTTGCCAAAAGAGCCTGCTCTTTCTTTCCATTCCCTATACTTGCTTTTCCTAGTAGTTTTACTGTTGAATTCATCAAATGAGTCTTGTTGTCGGGGTTCAGGGTCATATCTATCAGCTGAAAAATTATCAAGAATTACAAATAAGAGAACTTGCTCAACAAACTTACAGATATTAAGTGTTGTCCACAACCCTATCATGGTAACTTGGATTTTAGCTTGAAATTGCATATGGAATTCTGACAGCTTAAGGCAAAAGGTCATGTGTAATGTTACAAAAATTGTTGCTCCAACTGAAGACAACATAAACCTGAAACAGTATCCTCATTTCACTACATTAAAATTTTCAATTTATAATTACTATAATAATTTGTATTCAATCAGCTTTATTGTCTTATAAMATGCATGCAGCGTCTCCTGGTTCATCAAGGTACACTGCCACGGCATTGCAAGTATTTCTCTTGATTCTCGAGTAGTGTCTATCTCCCATCGTGTTTATATAATGGGAAAGAGACACAAGTCACTGCTTGATCATCTTTCTCCAGTAGAATGACCACACAGGAGCAAATCATRTCTCTGAACTCTTACATAAACTAGCTGGTAAGCAGTCCAATTTTTTATAAATAATCATAAATTCTTGCAGCAGAAATAACTCAAAGACTAAAAATGCAGTTTTTAAAATATCGTTGTTTCAAAGTTAATCTATTTGATATAATTAACTCAAGAACAATTGAGGAAATATTGAAACATCGAAACACAGTGTAAAAATTACAGGCTTTTTGGAATAATAAACGTTTTAGACACGATTACAGTAATTGAAGCTAAAACGTGCAATTGTTGTGTTTACTGTYCAAGGGAATAAAGGCCAATTAACAAACTCATTCAACATTAATGCAACCAACTTACAATAGTGGGAATCTCGGACTTTATCCGAGGACAGGCCAGTGTATTTATCTCTAGTTTTCTTTGCCTTTTTTCTCTCTGCTCGCATTCGTTCGTCGTCTTGAATAAGGTCGATAAGTTCTTTAACTTTGTGGCGAACTACAATAACAGCAATGTTTAGAAATATCAAAGGAGATGATTTATGATTTCGCCTTTATTAATTTCATGTTGAGCTAATTATAAACACAGCTCCAACTGTCAGATTTAGATGAATAATATTTAATATAAGGTTAAAAATTCACAAACCATTAATGCCTTGATCTTTGCCATTTTCATCGATGTATTGGAAATTTTCTAGCTGTCTCATGTCGTAAATATGGTCCCTCGCACTTGTCACTACTCGCTCGGAACCATTTTTTAGCAAATATCCAAGCAGTAGTAAGCCCTAGAAGACAAATAAACAATATTTATTCACATAACCTTGGTTATCAATCCGACTGTAGAGAGATAAAGTTCTTTTGAGGACATATTACCTTGTAAGATCGTCTCCAGTTCTTTTTCTGTTCTTGCAGCATACGCTTCCACAACATTGACATAACTTCGGGAAAATGCTCGTAAGTGTAGGTATACCTTGCAATTTCTTGCATTAAGCTTCCATGCGGGCCCCACGAATCATCATTAGTAGCTTCTCGTACCTTAGATTCAACCTCCGAGTAGTTCATGACTACATTTGTCCTAGAAAAAAGTARACAAAATCTTTGAGAAGTGGTTCATTTCGGTACCAAGCTTCAAATCTGTCACCGGAATTTCCCAACTWATCGTCATCTTTTGGACGATAACTTACATCTTATCGCTCAATTCTCGTATTTTCCACATCTTTGGTCCTTTCTGTGTGTTTTATCCAAGTTTTGTAAATATAAAAGTAGAAGAACGGCTAAGATGGAAGAAGATTGTACAATGTCTGAACTACATCAAAATGGCGACCGTCAGGAAACGAAACCGGCCTCCAAGTTAATACCTATGACGTCACACATACCTTTGAGTCAGGTGATAGAACGAGGCGATTTTAGTTTGCCGCTTGCATAAATATTGACGATATCATATAGGAACTTACTAGTTGTGCATCCAAAACCTTATAAAAGGTTAACTGACTCAAGGAAAAAATTAAATGGACCAATTGCAGGCTGCAGAAAGTGAAATTTTGATCAGATGAACGCTACGTCGGTTTTTTTGTTTTGTTTTTGTTTTTTTGTTTTTCAGAAGTAACATTAAGATTATATCGAGGTTTCTATTTCCAGATCTTTTAGCCAAAAAAGGGGGATAACTAGCCACCCTAATCAACCTCACCTGGATCTCCCTTGAACATTGATCAAGTGCCAAACAGGAATGTCATAATATGCAAGCTTTGTGAACTTTTTATTAATTATTTCATGAGATAAATGAATAATCTGACGGTCCATTCCTATACATTACTGGTTTTTCACTCGCCAGCTGCACGCGAAAAGACATGCGATTGATGTCCGATTGAATTGTCGCAGTAAAGTTTTCATTACAAAAAACTCACGTCACTGTATCAAATCAGTCATACGCACTCTGCACACTAGACCGGTCTCCCTGTGTAATATAGTGCCATTATGTAAACTTCCGTGCTCGGTTGATGCTTGTTCTTCTATTGATGTTTTGGGGAGAAAATTCAAAAACCAGCGAGCTATTTTTTAGCAAAACCTGTATAATTGAAGTTTTGCAATTTTTTTCCTATAGACTACCATTTATTTCAAATACAAGATGAATTCTACGTGGTTTGTAAGACTTCTCGTACTGATAATGATGGCATCACAATATCAATTTGAAGGTAAACATGTTCAACTCGTCTATCTTGCTTTTGGGCATTTACAAAATTTTTATTGCTTGATTTCTGCCAATCTCTTATTAAAATTAAGAATTAGTTACCGTGTCCAGCCCGAAGGCCTGCGGCACGGTAATAAAATGCAGCAACTTTATGTTTTATGTTTTTTTTATTTTTTTCCATCCTCGACTGGAGCACGTCTGAAAAATTTTTCTTTCTTTCTTTCTTTCTCCCTCCCTCTCTCCCTCCCTCCCTTTCTCTCTCTTTCTTTCTTTCTTTCTTTCTTTCTTTTTTTAACTGAAAAGTATAGGTGTTCTAGTCATGTTAGATTTTTATCGTAGCAATTTGTTTTGAATATTTACGAGCCGCGTTTGTTAAATTTTAGAAACAAGATGATACTCGAACAGCGGCGTCGAACAGAGGATCGCGGGTTCCTCGTCTCGAGCACTTTTTTTTCTTTCTTTCTTCTTAAATATAATAAAGTTGTTATAGTCATATTGACTTTCTGTAGATTTTGTTTAAAATAATTATTTTTAAGCCATTCTTTTGATTATACACAGAATATTAAACTCGAATTTTTGGCGTGCAAGGGTCGTGCAAGTTACGTCATCGCCGCCATGTTGGATGAAGATCACAAAACATTCCTCATTAGTTTCTCTTGTTCATTCATCCAAAATGGCGGCGATAGCATTGTTCTTTATTTCTCAGGAGATTCCTTGATTCTCGACTTATTATATAAGTAATACCATGGAACGAGGGAAATTAGTGATTAAATTTCCCTGAAACCGTTGCAAATTTGTGGAAGTCCCGAGGGCGCAAATACTATGATCGGCGAGGAACAAGGAAACATCTTTGATATCATGTCCATTTTTCTAATCAAGGAAGCGTAAACAACGCCAAAATGCATGATGATGATGATGATGTAATCAAACAATAGTTTTCAAATACGATACTCTGTCTTCTATCGTGTAATTAACATTTTAACATTGGTTCGTAAGTACCACTTCATATACTTGATTTGGATGTTTGAAAACAATTTAACACTTATTTACTGGAGGGAAACAGTATGTTTTGTGGTCCCGAGACCGCTGATATTTCTCGAAGCGAAGCTGGGGGAAACATCAGCGGTCGAAGGACCGCAAAACATACTGTTTCCCGAGGTTTCCAGTAAATAAGTGCTTTATCATATCAAGTGTCAAAGAGAGCAAAAAAAGTAAATACATGAAGTGTTTTTATTAAAGATTTTGATAAAAATAACTGAAAAATGGCAATGCAAATAGTAGTCACTATCAATCAATGTAATAGAGTACAAACACTAAARCTGTGCAACATAAATACCACTAAATACTGCTAAATTATGCTAATTCTAGAGTCATTTTCAACCGTCTGTKAAACAATATTACTACTATTTGTCAGTAGTCGAAATTAAATGTTTCATAACAATTTTGGAATGCAACAACGTCCGTAAATGTGACATTTTCATGACCCTGAAGATTGTTTTTCTGCGATTTTGTACTTATTGACGGTCCACAACATATTATTGACCGCTGGTGGACAGTTTCCGGGAAACAGTAAAATTTTGTGACTTTCACGTGGTACGGCTCTCGACCAATAAGATACTAGGAAAAGTGAACTTTGACACTTGATATATGATAAAATAACCATTTTAATTTGTATTCCCTTAGGGAACCAAAGATAATATTTATATCACGGAATTAAAAATCGTATACAACGCTYAAACAACATTGCTGAGAGATTTTCGTTTAGAACAGACAACGAAGTTTAATAAATTAAGAGTTATTATATCAGCTTGCTTCATTTCGATTGGCAAAAGTGTAAATGTGGTTCTATAACAAATGATTATTTTAAACATGTGATTTTTTTTAATAATATTTTTATGTGACTGTGCATAAATCTGTCATAGGTATTTTCGTTATTTTTTTTAGCTAAGTGTACAGGCAAGCGCAGTTAGGTAAAACAATGTCTCACATGCAAGACATGATAATGCCAGATCGTGTAGGACACCTGAAGTGCTTTCAGTAGCATATTATTAAGGGGTATCTRGTCCACTATATGTGTTGTTTATAGAACGAGAGTGCGTGTTTTATCGGGATTTATAAAACTTATCAATAATGCATAAGCTATTGCTCCAATAAGGGCTGACCATTTAATCAGGTGATTGACCTTGTAAATCTGATACAACCACTAGTTTACATTGTCACGGCCGCTCATGTTGTAAACTATACTTATAAAATTTTTGATATATAACGCGCGCTCTGATTGGCTGACGACCGTGTTTATATCAGAGGACAGAGACACGGCTTACMGGCAAAATTTTCTTTTCGCTCGAAAAATTTTATAAAACAAATATAAAACGGCCGCTTGTGTTTCTGTCCTCTGATATAAACACGGTGGGAGTTGAAAAACACTCGAGAAGCAAGAGAAACACTTGCTACGCTCGTGTTCCTTCTCTCGTGTTTTTCGAACTCCCACCGTGTTTATATCAGAGGACAGAGACACGCGCGCCGTTTTATATTTCTTAAATTCTTATATTCGAGCCGCAGGCGAGAATCTATATGCCCGATAAAACACGCACTCTCGTTGGGTTCATGGATATGTGGTTCACGGATATGTGGTTCTTGTATAGAAGACAAGTAAACAAAACTTTCTTGCTAATACATAAACGAGGCGAGTTGAAATCCAAGATTTACATTGTCAGAAGTTGTATTAATTACCTGATGCAATTTGGCCGACATCAATATGGAAGTTGTTTGTAAAGTTTCATCATGAAATATCCACTTCAATATAAATGTCTGGTTCTTTCAATTTTAAAYAACATACCAGGACTTTTGTTGTAGGTCGTGCCCAGAAAAAATAAACAACTGGATGAAGCCTTGTTTATAGAATTTTCAGATTTTATTTAAATCAAGTAAATGAAAATTGCCAGGCATACATTTCTTCTAGCTCACTGTTTT